TCCCATTACTTTTTGCTCTTTTATGGCCAACGGTAGTTCAGCGGCAGGATAAAAGCGTTTCATGCACGCATGCTCAGAGATCAAATCTCGAATGAAATCCTGCCCAAACCAGCCACACCCTCTTCACGTGGGACAATCCACCTTCTCACTCTGGGGCAAGTAGGTGGAGCCTGACTTGTTTGGGAGGACGGTAGAGTTGAATAAAATAAAAAAATAAAAAAAATATAAAGATAAAATTATAAAAAAAATTATCTTATATAAAAATAATTAAAAAAAATAAAGATAATATAAAGATAAGATAGATAAAATTGTACTTATGTTGATTTTCATAGTCTGTAAAGTCCAATTTGCATTCAAAAGATCCCCACGATTATGCTAGGAGGTCGCAGCGTAGCACTTCCAAACTGGTGACTGAAAGACGCCAAATGCTTTCCCTTCTTGGCTACCGAGCTCGTCAAGATAGTTGTTTACGTGCACTTTTCATTTTTTTTATAAAGTATTGTATTTCCGAGTCACTTTGAGCCACATATCCATCCTTTTAGTAATTCAGTGTAAATGCTTCTTTTCACTTATTGCCAACTGTTTGTCTTCGTTACCGGTTCTCTTCAACAACTGTCGTTTTGAAGTCTTGGAGCGGCTGTTCGGTTCTTGTCATTTGCCCTCGATCAATTCTAAGTTCTGACAGCTGACGACTTTCTCGACTTTCCCCAAATTTTTCTTGAAATTAAGTTCCTTTATTCCCATTGTATTTTTCATTGGACAGACAACATTTCGGTTGCGAAGAGAAGGGCTATTCTGGGCTGTTCAAATGGCCAGTATTGGCGTCTAGTGATTGATGATGTTTACTTTGTTGGCCTTCCGAGTACCCTCCTCACTCATTTAAATGCTAGGGTTGGAAATGTGGGGAAGGGGATTGAAGAAGCCATGAGCATATCGATGCGGTTTGGTAGTAGGTAAAAAGGTGCCGCTCTAGGAATCTTTGGGAACATTAAATCCAAGTCCATCACTTGCTAGTGGCCTTGCCTTAAAATAGTTCACGGGTAGTGAGGTTGATTTTCATGTGGGAACACTCGGTAAAGCGAAAAAGGTGGGGTTCAGCTAGCCAGCTTTCAAGTACGGCGTGAGTTACCTACGCCTCCTCCAAGTACCCGGTCATATTTGATCATTCAGTTGCTACTGAACGATGAATCCTCTAATTTTTCTTTAGCCCTTCTTTCCTACCTGCGAATTTCAAGCTTAGGTTGCATTAATGTCAGGTAATAATGGGAGTAAAAGTAAGCCTAACTGCGCCCACCTATTAAAATGACTTCTTCGTATTGAGGCTGCTTCCGTTAGTTCGAGGAGCGAATGTGGTTTCCTGAAGTTCGAGTGCGCTCACTTGACCGCGCTTCCTCCAGCTTTCGTCACCACCCCACCTGAGTCATATACTGCCTGGCCAAAAGCCCTTTACGTTTATGAGGGAATGTTTGCTGGAAAATTTTTCTCAGCTCTTCTTTCAAAGCACAGGAGTCTTCTAACTGTTTCGGACTGCATACATCTCATTTTCTGTATAACTTTGAGTTTCTTCTCCTTCTATTAGGACGGAGTCGCCATACAAACACGGTTCACTGTAGTCACCTGGTCTGGTCATTCTCAGTGTGACTAGCTGTTTTTTTACGTTTTTTTTTCGTCCGACAGTGTTTGACTTCGGTCAAGGAGACACTATCACGTACTTTTTCATATGGGACAGTTTATGAATTTATTTTCGTTCTGCCTTTCATGGGTCGAAAGGAGGAGGGGGCATTTTGTTCATAGAGTGCATCTTTAGAATTTATTTTGCTGAGGGTGGGAAGGGATGCAATAGGATATCCTCGGTAGAATATACAAAAGGTGTTTTTCTATGAGCAATTACGAGCAAGTACTCCACCTGAGTACCCACGGCCTCGATAATGTGATACCGTCCGCCATTATCGTTGAGCTCAAGAAAGCCTAAAGAATTGGCTTCATCCAGCAGCTCATGTGCAAACCTCCCCCCCCCTGGCTCCACCCACAAGAATCCACTGTAATTCTCACACTTTTGCTTTTTTGGTCGAGAAAGCAAGAAAACAATAGTTAAGGTTAGGTTTCGCACGAAACCGAACATTGTGCCCATTATTCAACATCCCTGTGATTGTATTCGCACTGCGAAAAGAAATGTGGTCAGGAAGCGCAAATCAATCAAAATGTGTAATGTCTATCAAGGGTTCCGACTTGACGGTCTATCGGCTGGTCAGGTTCTGTTGAGAGCTGGTAAGATAGATGCGGAATACATTATGTGACTGGAAAATCTTGGGTAGTAATCCTCGTATATACGGGGGGGGGGTAAAAAAAGACACTTTCGGCCGAGTCACATATCAGCAAAGTTTTCGCAGACCATCTCCAATCGCAGCCTGACTGGAGAACCTTTGGAATTCACGTCACCTCCAAACAGCTGCGAAACTTCTAGTATGGAGTCACCCATGGATAGCTACCTGGAGACCAGTACTCTCGATCTGGAAGACCTCCAACATCGAGCAGCTCCGACAACGTCGCTACGGTCTAGGACATCATCTTCACCGCAGTCGCCAAGGCGCGAGTTGATGGTATGGACCGGAAGTTCCTGGAATGGAAAGACCAATATTTTCTTCGTGGACCCCGGACTGAAAGTGAACGCTGACGGTTACATCAACCAACTCGAGGAGAATATCCTGCCTTCATGCAATCGCCTGTACCTTCTTGCAAACCTTCGTACTGCTGCAGGATTGGGTGCCTCCACACGGAATCGAAGGGCGTTGGAAAAACTCTCGCCCACTTGGAATGGAAGGGCGTAGTACCTGAAGAAGACGGAATATTCTAAGGGTGTCACCTGACCTAAACCCCCTCAATCACCCGTGGGCGGAACACAACAGGCGTGGTCACGGTGCGAATCAACGATTTCGCGCTGAACTTAGGTACCGACTCACAGTCGCGTGGCAGAAACTCTCGATGGCGCTGGTCCAGAAGGCTGTGGCAGTATAATGATGGTATAGAATATACTCTTGAATATGATAGTGGAAATATCCCATCAAAATTTAATAAAGTGTAATTTATAGCGCCTTGAAAGTCAAGGAAGAAAAGTGCTTTTCCCCTCCCTCTGTATTAGTTCCTGAAGGGATTGATAGAAACAATTCCTGAACCAATTGATAGAATCAATTGTCTTTATGGGTATTTCTATACTCAGGCACTACTGTGATCTACTGCTGATCTACTGGGATAATTGGTGAGCATAACAACGGTGGAGAACGTCTTCTGTAAGTTCTGCGAGAGCAGCATTTCGTTTGATACTACAGATGGCTGACGGAGGTAGTGTAGTAACAAATGGCGCTGCTTACTGAGGGTATGGTCATGGAGGTATCCCTAATCGCCTCCTGTCGAGGGCAGTGGAACCCCCACACTTTCGGGCTGATTGATTGACAACAGCCTCAACTGTATGCTGTTCTGTAAAGGATGCGTACCGCAGCCGGAAAAAGGATTGATCAACGGCGGAAGCCTTGTCTTTTCCTTTCTTTGCTGCAAGAGGGATAAAACATTAAAGACCCAGGCATGCATAAGCGGAGTGAAATACATCTACTATTGTACCGCGCTCTCGGAGCCGGAGCAGAAGACGAAGCTGAGGAGAGCACGAAAGCAGAGGCAAAAGCGGAAGTTTTTTGGAGCTTCCACGGCGCAGTTATCGACGAACGATCGAGAAAAGGGCCCGCTGCCTGAGGACATATCCCAATACGTCGCAGATCTCCAAGAACCATTGAGAGGCGCGGAAGTTCACAATGATCAAGAGGGAGATCGCGCCGCAGCGAGCGTTCACCTGGAGGCTTCACCGCGCCTAAGAGAAAGAGAGCGGGCTGTGCAGCAAAGAGTAGCTAGCTGCGTCGCTGGAGACGACGAGCTACGGCCGCTGTCAAGCGCAGTATTGCAGGGCAAGAAGCCCATCTACAGGAATGGCCGAGTAAGTGTTCATCTCTACTCTAAGTACTCCCGAGGGGACAAAAAAAAACTGTGAAGCTGAGACTTGCTCGTATCTTGGGCCACCACAAACTGCATGAGGCGTCCAATTATATTCCGAAAATAAATTCTAAACAAATTTATTGGCCGTAAATACTGAACGTGTATAATAACATTAAAATAAGCAAAGTAGCTCAGAAGTCCACCAAAACTGTATCCTTTTCCAAAAGCGCTAGAAAAAGCATAGTGGTTGACGTGATTTCGTCAATTTTGTGACCATAGTTCGATGTCGTGTATTGTTGTAAGCACAAATGCAATGCCCATCCTCATGGTCCAGAGAAAGTTGGCCGAAAGAGAGCGCTTGGAATATCCCGGAGTACTTCCGAGCCGTCCGCGCAATTTGCTCAATATATTTGGGCACTGGTTGAGCAAAAATAAGTTCCGCACTATCAATCGTTTGTCTTGGGAACAGTCAGCCTCATGAGAATCGAAGGGTGACGAGCTCTACGTCTTCAATATGTTTCGGGGAAAAGTGCTGGAACTGGTCTTTATCAGTTAAGGGGTGGCCTCTTGTCAAGAACCTTGATCTGAAAATTAGACCATTGGCTGATGAGCGCGGCTAACAGCCCATACAGGTGCATAATAAAGTTCTCTTTTCTGTGCAAAACTGGCATTACCCGAATTAAACTTGTCCAACCACCGTGGAGCTCTATCCTAGGCCTAGGCCGATGAGCCCTCATCTCCATCTGCGGTAATTCTAATCACGCACGAAGAGTTCTTTTAATGCCCCCCCCCACCATCACCGAGGTTATTAATGTCACTTGATCGCCTCACATTTCCTTCACATCTTTTTTTTCTTCATTTTAACATGTTTCCTCCTTCTTTCGCCACCTTTAGTAGGTGTGTCACGCGTGTCCAAGCCTGTTCGAGCCGATTTTCGTTGTACTTGTAATCCTCGTGCTCTGTCTAATTGAACTTGTCTATTTTGAACTTTTGCAGCCGGCCGCCTTCTCTTCCTATTCATGTCACTGCACCTTTTGCGACAGGCCGCCGGCCCCGCATTTAATGTGAGTTTTTGGGCTTTGTTCAGCACTTACGCTCATTTTTACTTGCAGTGATCCTCTTGGAGGGCCAAAATTATATTTTGAAGGTATCCAAACGGGGGCAATGTTTATTCGAAATAAAGCTGTTGTCGCCGAGATACGATACATTGCCTTGTGCTGTCTAGAATGTTTGGAACACTTTAAAGGTAGTGCACATGATTGCTGAGGGCGGGTGGTTGTTGCCAACGTCACTGGTGGAAGGGCTGAGGGGGTATGGCCAAACGCCCTCTCGCAGCTCTTTCACCAATGACGCTGGCAGTAACAGCCCGCCTCCAACAATAGTGTCCACTGCCGTAAATTATAGATTAGATATGTCCACCGAACCCCATTTTTCCCAACCTGTATTTCAATCCTTTTCGCATTTTAACTGGAAGTTTTTTCAGGCTCTACGGCTATGCTCGAGCGCTGGTGGCGTGTACCATCCGAAGCCAATCGACCCCACATGGGGCGAGATGGCGAAGAAAGCCATGAAAGGAAAGGATCCTGAGAGTCTAATCTGGCACACACCTGAAGGCATTCCGATCAAACCGCTCTATCTCAAAGAGGACCGACAATGTGACGATCATAGGAAACCAGAGGTACTAACACTCTTTCATAAGTACTTCCTAGCGTGGGAAGTTAGCTGCGTGGAACCTGGGTTCGTCTGCGTGACGAGCTCCATCACAGTCTAATGGTTCTGATTCAAAATGCTCATTATAATCGAGGAGGTTCGTAAGTAATGGTGTTTGGCGTCAATATAAGGAGAGGCGATGGGGACCACTTGGCTGTGCCTCTGTATCCCTTCCCCTAACCAAGGTTTAGGCTTAGTGGAGAATATGCCTTGGCAATTCTGCTCATCTGTACCTTGAAGATAAACCTCGCGATTGCATATTGTGGATAATAGCGTCCAATTACAAACCTATACTCGCTAAATGACTCTTCAGGAAAGAAAAAAAAGCAGAAAAAAGAGCACAGTGCAGGGTCCTAAGTAAGCACCTCGTAGCCTCCCTGGACTAGTTCTACGGATTTGCTCCCTTCATCCAGCGATGCGGTATCCTGCCGCTTCTGGCTTGTTTCTTCCGCATCATCCAATGCTGATACCATCTACAAGTGGAAAAAAACGAAAAACACTGAGCAAAAACTGAACTTGTGACAGAAAATAGCCTTGACTTTTGGTGGGCGGGGCAACTAGGGGGGGGGCGTCAAAACTGCTGTTTATGAGGGCCAACGCATTCGTCACTTATCAAGAATCCACGAAACAAGATAGTCTTAGAGACTGAGGCCCAGACTTTTTTAACAAGGACGCCTATTACCTGGCTTAGGTTAAGGTGTGCAGAGCTGCTGCCTATTGGTCGATTAATCTTGAACCTTTTTTAGCCGTCTTAAAAAGCATAGCTCCTTGGCAGTATACTTCACAGATTACTTCTGTGGCTCTTGCCATCAGACAGACATATTAAATATCAAAAAAAAAAAAAAAAAAAAATGTTGAAAATGTTCGATTAGTTGGCGACTTCCTTTTACTTCTACGACGCCAAAATCGTGAAAACCTAAAACACAACCTAAAAGCCAGCTCTCTCTACTACGGTGAATTCCAAAAAAACTTCAAAGCATTAGGCAAAAAACCATCCTTTACACAAAACTGTGTTGTAGAAGAAAACGCCGTTACTTATGGGCGTACCGCCACCGATAATTGAGGGAAATGTTCCCGGTCGTTCTTCGTTTGATTGTTATTGACAGAACGAATGGGCTCTTTACACATCAGGACAGTTCGAAACGTTCGCTAGATTGCACTTCTGTTTTGCCGGCAACTGTTTGCAAGACGGGTTCCCAGTCAGTGACGCTTTGTAGAATTGCGAAAGAGACCGTGGTGTCCTGCAAGAAGTGCTGGGACAAATTTGCGAAAGAGAGACCGAAGTCCTGCACAAAGGAGCTTACTGTTGCTAAATCAGGGAAACCCAGTCCAAGGGTTCAAAAAAATCATATAAACATGAGCACATAGTAGTGCTTTACATTTGGCTCTGACGTAAGACAGTAATTCGAGCGAATCAGCCGCGCTATGGCCTATTGCGCCCCAGTGCTAAATGCTAGACTGCTTAGAGCGCGTTGAAAGAAGTTTTACCAATCAACTGCATGTGAATTTGAAGTTGCAGCGGTTATTATGCGGGGGGCTGGGCCGTTCACTGTCACAGGTTCAAAAATTACTCAACCGAACAGCGAAGAAACGGACTATAGGCAAAGTAAACGCGACTTGACTTCTGGTTCCTAAGGCCTTTTGCCCCGGAGAAACGACGTTATCGCCCAAAAACGAAAGCTTTGATTTCGTTCACTCACAAGACTTCGCAGTTAAGGAAGGAGTGCCACTTACTGAATTGATTGGTTTTACGCAGCATCATTCTGTGAAAGTCTGGAATTACTATTTTTTTGACTCTTCCGTGCAATCGTATATTCCGCAATCGTGAACGAGTCAGAGGAGCAGAAATATCATTTGTGCCTTTCCTAATGGCTGCTCCCTAACCTTTCATGCGGAAGGGAGTAGAGCGCGCGAGGAATGACGCTGCTCTATCTTCGCCCATGCTATGAGCGCGGAGAGTGCCTTTGAATGCTCCCTCTAGAATCAACGCTGTCCAGTTCACTGTCGTGAAATGGGTATGCAATGTGAAAGTCACTGATATTTTCATCCTTTCAGCTCCCGGGCCAATACCCGTTCACTCGCGGTCCTTACCCGACGATGTACACCCATCGACCATGGACTATTCGTCAGTATGCCGGATTCTCGACCGTCGAGGAGTCGAAATGCCTTTTATAAGGAGAACATCAAAGCCGGCCAACAAGGGCTGTCAGTGGCTTTCGACCTGGCCACGCACAGAGGGTTAGGTTTTGCTCTGCTAGTTAATTAAGAAATAAAGTAATTATCTGTAGATAATTTTCAGATACGATTCCGATAATCCACGAGTATTTGGTGACGTCGGTATGGCTGGTGTGGCTGTGGATTCCGTAGAAGACATGAAAAGGGTACTGCACTCGAGAATTTTTGCTGCATAAGAAACAGTATTGCTGAAAAATGCTGGTGTTAATTCCTGCGCCATCACAGCCAAGGCTTATTTTGAATATTTCAGCTGTTTGAAGGTATCCCGCTAGACAAGATGAGTGTCTCGATGACTATGAATGGAGCTGTAATTCCCGTACTAGCTATGTATGTTGTAGCTGCAGAAGAGTCGGTTCGTTCATGGTTTTAGTAGTGCTTGATTTTTGAATGAATTTCCGGGGTACTTGTAGTAGTTCACGATCAGCTTACTTGTTCAACCCATTATTTGATGTGTTTGGGTCACGGATTGCCCCGTCCTGCAAAAAAAAGCAGTGTAAGTATAAGTACATGGAAGTGATCAGGCTGAGAGGGAGAGAATGCCTGGTACCGTAATGGATGGCCCTTTCACTTGGTAAGCGTGAGGTACTGGTTCGAGTCCCACCTGGGGTCACGGCTTTTGCCCACCACTCAGTACTCTTGTGGTGACGCGACTGACAGGGCTTGTGGAATAGGGGATGCAATGGTCAGCACCATTAAGGGGGTGGGTTGGGCCGCCCCTCTAGGCGCCCAGGGATTGTTCATCGCCCATTTTATCATCGAAAGGGCGGATTCAGGATTGTGGGCGGTATCGTCTGGCACCGTTAGCAGTCTTGGGTGCAAGTGCGTACCCGTACAAGGACAGCTCCTGGACCAATGGGTAGAGAGGGCGTACCTTGCAGTACCGCTCCGACGGTTAGTAGAGAGACGGACATGACAATCGTAAATTGCCGCGCCATCGCTTGCTGCGCATCATACGGTGGTGTGCGGCAACTTTCTGATCTCCGTCAAATTTATCGACTGGATCACATACACTCGCCAAAATTTAGGCGGAGGCACAGTTTCCCGGAAGATATCGACCTTTCCACCCCCTGAAACTCAAAGACAAACAGCCCGGCCAGGACAACTCGTCCTTTGCGTGCCGGCATCGCTCACCACGCGGCGCATCACGATTGTCCTGACACACTACCCGGTTACTCGGGACCCGCCTGCATTTTAAGACCGACCCTTTGGTTCAAGTCACTGTACAATCTTTTCAGCTGCACAAAATCAATGTGAAGTTTAGGGCGTCGATCGCAAAAAACTTACCGGTACAATTCAAAATGATATTTTGAAAGAATTCATGGTACGTAACACTTACATCTATCCACCGGAGCCGTCAATGCGAATTATTGGTCAGTAGCATCTACTCGAAACCTTGAATCCAGTGCTTCTATTCTACTATTTTAGAAAACGGGAACACTTTCGCGCTCGCGATGCGATGTCGACAAATGCCGAAATGGAACATATTCGTATTCCGGATAATTCAAGCAAGTTTAAGCACGAATATTGTTCCGCTCGAAGTCGTCAGCCCCTTAACACAACATATTCTCAGTGCTATTCAAGCGTGTGCCCTTGTTACTCTATAACGGACTGTTGCTCCCCACATTTCAACCACTGTCGGATCGCGCCGCCTTCGCAGCCTTCCCATCTTAGCACAGAAAAAACAAATTATTTTCCTGGCAATCCAGAACTTAACCATTTCACATTTTTTATTACCCCTTATTGAACGTTTAAAATTTTCCGTAAGTCAAGGATCGAGAACTGGAATGGATGCTCATGGAAAACTGTATTGGTAGTTATGGAATTATTTGATTGTTAGAATAAATAATAGGTAAATAAGTAAATAAACAAATAAATAAATACAAATAAGTTATAAATTTTCGACTTTCGACCTCATGTTCACTACTATTCTCATTTGTCCTTGAGACAAAAATATAACTTTTGCCCCTTACTTTGCTGAGTGTCTACCCGTTACTCATCGGCTTCCCCGCTGTCGCCCTCTTAACACATACCATCCCTCGTTTGCTTCAGGAGTACGTTTTACAAATTTTTTATCCATAGCACCGCACTCCCATTTCCGATCTGCCGCCCATTTTGCGCGGAGCTAGTTCCTTGTAAGTGTTCGGTAAAGTGTCCCATGCACAATCATCCCAAACTTGAATCCGTTCGCTCAAAAATGATTTTCACACAGTCCCCAATTTTCGGGTGAACACGCAAGCATACAAACGCACAACTTCTGCTTTATATATAGAGAGGATATTCGGCATGTTTTTGACTTAAAGACACATTGTGCGTAATCGGGTGGGCGGCGACTGGCAACCATTGTGTCTGCGTCTTTGGTGGTCCTCTCTTCTTCGCCATGTTAAAGTGAGGGGCACACCAGTAGGGAGCTCACAGTAGTTGTGAGTCTCCGCCCGTCCGATTATCGTGGAATATGTCTTTGTGAACGAAGAAAAATCAGAGGCAGATCATATATCCAACACCAATTTGTTGCTGGGTTCATAGCATACTCTGTCCTATCGCCCCACTTTTTCCCATAATACTGATACGATAACCTTGGATCATTGTAAATTAGACAAAGTCACAGAATTTCATTGCAGGAAGCGGGTGCTGACGCTGTTTTGGAGATGGCTTTCACGATCGCAGACGGTATCCAGTACTGTGAAACAGGAATCAACGCTGGCCTTACCATCGACGACTTTGCTCCACGTCTCAGCTTCTTTTGGGGTATTGGAATGAACTTCTACATGGTAAGTTAGACAGTCCAATGATCCTGTTTTGCTGAAGAACGATCCTCGAGGTTGCACCCTTTCGTAGTTGTAGTCATTCGTGAGGTCACTTTCAGGAAATAGCCAAAATGCGCGCTGCTCGACGTCTGTGGGCCGACCTTCTCAAGGAGCGGTTCCACCCGAAAAGTGAAAAATCGCTCATGCTCCGCACTCATTGCCAAACCAGTGGATGGTCCCTTACTGAGCAGGTAAAGACAACAGGCTCCCACAAGAAGTTCATTAACTGACTTCCCTTATTACAGGATCCGTACAACAACATTATTCGAACAACCATCGAAGCCATGGCATCAGTATTCGGTGGAACGCAATCGCTGCACACCAACTCCTTCGACGAAGCTCTCGGTTTGCCCACGAAATTCTCTGCTCGAATCGCCCGAAATACACAAATCATTATCCAAGAAGAGAGTGGAATTTGCAAGGTGAGTAATGTCAGGCAGCGTTCAGACTTCTTGATGACGCGCTACGACGCGCTGTAATGCGCGGTAACGCGCGTCGACGTGCTATAATTACAACAGCGAAAAATACCGCCAGATAGAATCTCCAATAATGGAGCGGGTTCCTCGTTCGTCTGAAAATTTTTGATAGTGATTTTTTGTTTCACGAAACCCTTAAGGTTAGAGCGTATTTGTCTTTGAGAGAAATTGCGAAGTTTGACAAAAGCATTTTATAAAATTCGAGAAAAATTGAAAATTAGGATTTTGAACATTTAGAATGTGGTAGTAGATAAAACTGGAACGTGTCCAAGGAGGATCCAGAGAGTTGCAATATTTCCCGAAAAGTTTCCCTACCAGCGCAGAGTGGCCAATTGACTAACACCCTACGAATCCTATTCCCCTTACCTCTTCAAAACACAAGCAGCACGCGCCTATTCCATCCAATCCTTCGCAGACGTAACGACCGCCCGTCGGCCGTCGAACGTTGAAGCGCTGCTGCGTCGAAGCGCGTCGACGCGTCAGCGCATACAGCGCGTCGACCGAGCGACCATAGTTGACCCAGATAGAGCCAGCTGTAGCAGCAAAACATAGTTCACGTAGTCCAGATCCCATGTACCATTTTCGTTAGCCCGTAGCTGTCAAAAGGATTCTCAGGTCGCCATCCTGGCGACCATACATTAGAACCATGATGATGAAATCTACGCATAAACTAGAAAGGTATAGACTTTGAACCGCGTCTGAGACTACTTACTCTTTACTCCTAATTTAATTCCTGCTCCCTTTGTGACGCTACATGCTCACATCCTGTCATACTCGATTGTGCACAGTCTATCAAGCGCTTGGGTTCGGCTGGATGGAACAAATTACTTTCGGTGTCTCTTTGCTAAGTCATGTTACCTAACAGGTTTCACTTTGAGGTAACCTGCAAACTCTTGTGAGGCTGCAGATGGTGCATGGGCACACCTTGGTTACATCACCTTACAGGTTTTCACAGGGTGGGCTGTACAAGCTTCGCTGAGTACCATTCGATGCCCCCACCAAATCGAACTGAGCGGTCAATCATAAGGCGTCGATGGGTTCGCTCGTTGGGAGTTCATGATTGTTCCTACGCTCAGAACCCTTACGAACTTGTTAATAAGAGATCCTTTGGGAACTGCGCTATAAACTCAAACTTCTATACAATGTGCAGGCGTGTTCTTTGAGTGATTTGTGATAGGATGAACATAGTATTCCGTGGTATCTTTTACTCTCAGTAGACTGTATAGAGGTTCGGGGGGGGGGTACAAGACGGTCTCAAGACCTCTTCAAAACACAAGAAGGGGTAGCTGTGACTCGAAGATCCATGTTTCTATCCATTATCGTTTTCATCACGCAATTTTCAGGTGATCGATGAAATTACCGAGATGGGTGGTATGGCTAAAGCGGTTGCATCTGGCATGACTAAGCTGAGAATTGAAGAAGCGGCTGCTAAGAAGCAGGCCCGAATTGACTCCGGCAAGGACGTCATCGTCGGTGTCAACAAGTACCGCCTCGAACACGTTAGCGGTTTGCTCTTGATTTTTCGGATACTAAGGGTTTAGCATGAGAAAAGGCCAGTGAGCGCTCACTGTTGCTGTTTCTAATGGCTGCGGAATTACGGGGGTTATTTGATATCCTGATCCGAATATGACATTCGTTTTCGGCGCCGGCGCCAATGTAAGGCACTCTGGTCATCTGCTCTCTACCAGGGCTGAACCTATCGGGGAGGAAATCACCCCTCCTCCCAAGCTCAGCCTAACAGAGCGCTAAGTTGCGCTGGAGTCGAAAAATCGATGTCATTTTCGTAATCGAGGTATCAGTCACCTCTATTACGCAAGTTTTCATCTATCTTGGCGATGAAGGTGGTCGTGCCCAATGAGCCCGGTTGGCGCGAAATGACGCCAGGGCCAAAGCTGAATGTCATATCCATAATCAGGACACCTATCGACATAATGTCAGGGCAAAGTATTGATCGCCGAAAATCTGGTTTGAGCACCTTTTACGTCTAGTGTGTTCAATAAGGGAATAAAGGCGTTTTCTTTACAGTCGTTTTATTTTCATTTTGTAGGAGTCGAAAGTTGATGTACTTCACGTCGATAACCAGAAAGTGCGTGAGCAACAGATCGCCAAGCTGGAGCATATTCGCAAGACCCGAGACCCACAAAGAGCCAAGGCTGCCCTGGAGGCGATCACAGCGGTATTCGAACCGTTAACTTCACTCATTTTGAAGTTTCACCGAAAGCGTTCGAATATTTCAAGGGAGCTGCCGGCAATGGAAATCTTATGGAATTGGCAGTGGAGGCATCTCGCGCTCGATGCACTGTCGGAGAGATTAGCGACGCAATGGAGAAAGTCTTCACTCGGTAAGTGCTCACCGGCTGTCTTTACTGTAAAGTTAAAGTTTCAATACGTCAGCCATTTCATTATCGCAACTATACTGGAACATACTTATGGGCATAGACATGCCAACGGTGATGCCTTCGCTCCGGCAGCCTGCCGTTCCTCCATTGTTTGTTCTGCTTGCTATCAAAACCACTTGTTGTTTCTTGGTTGATAATCTTTTCCATTGGTCCACTTGTCCGAGACCCGACGCGATAGACTTCGCACGTTTAGATGAACGCGCTCTCAAAAAAGACCATCTCCCGCTATTCAAATGTCACGGAGTAGCAGGATGCTCAGTCATGAACTGAGGTAGCCACAAGGTGAATCGCTATTAAGAGCAGAAGGAACAACACCTTTGAACGCCTTAACCGGAGACCCTTCACAGCAGTGGCGCCTTGGACAGTTTTGTCGCAACATTGACAAGCCCAGTCAGCCGTATTTGACGTATGCAACCAATTCCCGGCAAGAGACGAGAAAATCACCTTACGACGGGGGGGGGCATCTCCAGACGCACGTCATGTACACACGCAATCGCTCTGTAAGCGTTTGTTTGCCAGAGTGAAAAGTGAATCTGTGGTTGCAATAATCGCGCGTCTCTAGCCTTCTTTATCCTCGCCGTTTTGAGTGAATAAAGTGGTATGATCTCTGCGAATGCGGACAACGATACCAAATGCCTAGAGGCATTTCGCAGACCACTTGAACGCGGGAACTGCCTTCGAGAACGGGTCCACCCACTCTTATAGCACTTACTGGTGCAATATCCTTCTTGCTCTCTTTCGTGACATTTTTCTGATTTTTCAAGTTTATCAACATCTCTCGGTTGTGGATGCTCAGCTTTGGCCTAGGTTGACTCTCCTTCCGCTTCCCATGACAATAATTTTTTTATTATGCTGCCGTCTACTTGTTTTAGTTATGCTGCCGTGAACAAAATGGTATCAGGCGCCTACAAGTCAGAGTTTGGAGAGACGAACGAGATCGCTCAGGTAATATCCGATGTTATCAGCCACCATTTCAGGTGAAAACCAACAAAGCTGATTTGAGGTGATGGAACGTGTGAAGGCGTTTGCTGCGAAGGAAGGTCGTCAACCTCGTCTTATGGTAGCCAAGATGGGACAAGATGGTCACGACCGTGGTGCTAAGGTGGTGGCTACCGGATTTGCAGATCTTGGTAGGTTTATGTTTTCTATAGATCGAAATGAACTATACTCGACTGCTCATGGTGTTACCTGTGCAGTGCCTAGCTAAAGAGTTGACTAAGTCTCTCTTGTGAATGAACAAGTTCAGGATTCGACGTTGACGTTGGGCCGCTGTTCCAAACCCCTGCTGAAGCTGCTCAGCAAGCTGTTGACGCTGATGTCCATGTGATTGGAGCGAGCAGCCTTGCTGCTGGACACCTCACACTTGTGCCTCAGCTGGTTCAAGAACTCGCCAAACTAGGAAGAGAGTAAGTAGTAACTCTTTATGCTGACGGGAAAGAGAGAAAAATGATATGGAGTTTTAGGGACATTCTTGTGGTTGTTGGTGGTGTGATCCCACCGCAGGACTACGATGCTCTGTATAAGGCCGGTGCATCTCTGATCTTCGGACCTGGAACAAGACTACCTACTTGTGCCAACCAGGTAACTTTTTCTTCTGCTTTGGAAACTAGTTTGTTGAGTCGCCGTGGAAAGTGGCAAAACTGCTGCTGGCTGTTCTTCAGAACTTAATAGTGGCTGTGGGTCAGGAGGTCCAAGTGGTGGCGACACATGGAAATTGGCTCGGCCTTTCTTTGGTGGTTGGCCTCGACCCGATCTCGCTACGGCCACTTTCGAAAAAAGAATTCGCCCGAGAATGCCGTTCTACAACGCCGCTTTCGACCATCCACTGTGACCTCGGATTCCTGGAGCAATCGTGAAGGAGTCGCCAGATGTCGTCGAAATCCATTACGTTAAAACCTCAAAGGCACTCTCCGCGTTCATTTGTTGTTCAGACGCTTTCTTTGACAGTGCGAGTCCTGTACACAAACATGGAGAAACGGGGCCAGGTCCCGCCCACTGGCTATATGGCAACGCCCAACTTCCATTTAAAGCTTCGTCGGTAGCTGCAGCTATTCCGCCACCTAGCTCTCTCTTCGAATTCGTGATTGGATCAAAGATGCTGACACGCAAAAGCGCGGAGCTCGTCGCGCACGGCCTTTCTTTGCCTTATGCTCCGTACAAGTGCAGGTTCGGCCCCGTGATGTCCTCTATGGACTTGTCCTGGGGGGGGGCGTTTCAGTTGTTTTTTCTTCTTGTTCTGAATTGTTAACGCTTTATGTAATCTCTGATATTCGTTTGTGCTGGACCAAGCTCTCAGAGCGGGACCCCAAATCGCCAAACAGCATGGCCGCTGAAGTCATAACTTCGGGCGCAGAGAAGCTAACACAAGGAACGCATATCTCCGCATGTAGATATAATAACATTATTTGAGACATCCCCCATTATTATGAGTCCTTGTATTACTCGCGCGTGAACGGGAATTTTTATAGCGGTGTAGAGTAGCTTACGTAGCTCTGTAAAATGTTCAACATGGTGCCTATAGTTGTTTGTTATAGTTTTAATGAATACTTGTTTTCTTCTTAGCGTTCCGTTGTCAACAATACGAGTTTACCATCCGTTCATCGCATTTGCATAAATCATGACTTTTTCAATTGTTTCAAAATGCGACTGTGATGAAAACTGCATACTCCCGTAGCTGAGGGGTTTATGGTTCGGGAATTGTCTAACGTTTGCGGTTCCACTTACCGGCGTAGCTGATGAGTGGGACAGCGGCATTTTGTAAGCAGAAGTGAGCCATATGCACGAATTACTGTCCTTCCATCATTTACGGACTGTCGGCGAGGCGGGGCGTGTCAGCCAGTAGGAGTGCGCACACTGTTGAAGCCGTTCTCAGCCTTTTTGTTGAAACGCGTATGCGACAAAAGTGGTAGAAAACGAGTAATACGAAGGATATAATACAGTAATGCATGTCACTTGCCCGATGGTGTGTGCAGAACGACTATCGCGTCGCCAAACGCAGCCCACTGACACCGCCCCGACAGTCCGTAATATGATTAGATTGTACCTCGCCAATTCCAGGACGGGATGTTGCGAGCGGGAGCGGGAGATCTGTCTAAAGTACACGTGTCATCTCCGTTTTGGACCAGCCCATGAAAGCCCATCAGCCTTCCTCATAAGCGATATGTAGAGCTTTCCCCTACTACGCTGTTTCCTGCGACTTAGTAATTGCATACAATTAAACAGCGACAACTTAATGTGGTACGGGTACGTTTTGGTGCCACTAATTTCACCAACGTGTTAGTGTTGGAAGGCAAGGCTGTTCGGCAACGGAGCGTACAAACCAGGTGCCAACAGCTTGCCGGTCCATCACCTGATTGTAACGCCTAAGTGTCGCACAGTATCGGAACGTGCGATACAGTGGAGCCGCTCGCGGACTGGTCGAACCCAGTTACCCTTACCGACCACGCTTGCCATGTGCTCCGAATGGAGAGGCGAAAAGCTTTCAGGAGATTCATTACCCATTGCCTCTCCGTCTTCTTATGCGATACTCTCTCATAAACACACCGGCGCCGCACCGTCTGCCCGTCACTCTTCCGATTCGTGGACTCGTCGCCGATCGGATAATAAGCTACGCTCCCGACAGCTGATCCTGCCGCATTTTCCGCTACATTTCAGCGTGTTGAAGCTGGAATTTTTCGAATTTCGACTTCATTGTTTGAAGGTGAGTATTCTTAGTGAAATCATATCTCATTTTGCATGAATTTAGCATGAAAATCCCTCCTAGAGAAATTGTTTTCCGTCTTATTTTTCGCACAGTAAATTTCTTCCAAACTATTCTTGAATTCCTCATTTTCTTTTATGTTATTGGATTGCGCCGAGTTTCCCCTCTCTGACTCCCTGCTTTTTGGACGCTCGAAGCCCGCCCCAGCGGTCCCTTCCATGGGCTACAATTTCCCAATTTCAGAGTTTTTTTTTCTTTCACCAACTTCATTTCATGCTAAACGCATGCAAAAGTGTCGATATATACGTTTCAAGCTGAATGTAGCAAAAATACTGCGAAAATGCGGCAGGAATCAGCTGATCGAGAGCAATTATCGATCGGCGAGAGTCCAGAACGGAAGAGTGGTAGATTGTGCGGCGGCGTGTTTTAGAGCGCAGAGTCAGTATCAGAGACGCAGAGGCAAGGTTTTCCACCAACAGGCAACTATCGGGCCGTTCGCCAGCGTGGCCTTAGGACCGCCCCACCGTCCGCTGAGAACTGCACTGTATGTTCTTTCATGAGCTCCTTCTATGTTAGCTTTGGATGCTGCGAACGGAGCAAGTGGTTCACAAAGGCCACACGGTTTTACTCTCTTTCTCATTTGCAAGTTAGCTGCCTCCGATTTTTTTGTTTTGAACCCCGTTGGCTGATCCTTAATGAGGTTGGGTCTTAAAATATGCCTTCAAAACGAATTTACAGTCACCTCGAAGGATCAAGGTCCCTGCCATGTGCGGGATGAGTGAGCCAGTTGCAGTAGCGTGCCACTCATTCCACTCAGAACTGCATGGACGCGGGACTGGAGGGTAGTGATATCACCCACTGCCTCCGGACTGCGCCCATGCTGCCGCACGGCCAGCCGCACGCCTAGCCATAGTCAAGCACGCTACCCGTCTGCGGTATCACTTCTGCCTGATCTCTAACGCTGAACACTTGCTCTACTGCGAGGTTTTGGTGTCAGCGCAACGCTATACTGTGACGATAGCGCACGCGGAGTCCGAACGGCATTTGGGTATCGCTACCATTCAGCCATGTTTCCGCGTGTCGTCAAGTGTCCGGAAATATGGCTGAAGGTTGGTGGCTGTGCAAAGGTGCTATGCTTGCACAGCTACCAATCCTTCTTCTCGCAGGGCAAGTGCCATCATTGGCGGGGAGTGTGTTGCTTGTCTTCGAGCAGTATACTCAGAAAAAATTGCCACAATACTTTGGAAAAGATATTTATTACAGAATAGCACCATAGTTGATGGCAAATGACCATATAACTGTTTTCTTTCTGTGATTCATACCATTAGTTAGCTCATGCTACACAATGCTTGGTGGACCCACCGCTCGCACTGAGAAATGCAGTGCCGAATCGGAAGTCTCAATCCATCTCGTGGAATATTGCGATAGTCGTTATCATTCTTATACAATCAGCCAACTCTGCAGTGGGTAAAGCTTCAGTCGATCGCCTTCACGACCCCAAGATGTCTCTTCATGTTCTGAGACGAGCCACTGGGCTCTCTTACACTGTGAGTCTTGGTTTCGTCTTATTCTAATCTGCACTAGAAAGCTCGGAGTTTTGTGACAAATATGAGTTTCCTGCTTACGCTTGGTGGGTAACTCCAAGCATTACAAGTTAGCCAAGGGAAACATTGTATAGTACGGGATGACCGAGAGGCTTCATCAACGTTCAGATGCCTTTACTAAGATTATTTTTCCCGTGGCTTTCGAGTTCGTCTTTGTACACGAGGGGTATATGTGACAAGAGATCCTAATTCACGTCGCGAGCTGAATAGGCGTTCGGCATGCGACGTTTGCGCCCGGCAATGACGAGTGGTCGCCAGGTAGCACTGGCGAAACAGGGCAATTCAGCACGCGAATAGTCATCATGTTTACGAATGACGGAGTCTACATGAAGTCCGGTGCTCCAATCGACAGGTTGACACGATTTAAGATAGCGGCGCGTCAATCGTCGCGCGCGGCGGAGCGGCAAAATACGAATTCTGCTTTGCCCCTCACGCCGTACGCGAAGTGATTCTGTAATTATCAAAGCCCAGAGGGGTCTGATCTAACTACGTAGTTTTGCCCCATAGCCGTCTACCCTGATGCTGTTATCCGGGTATGTGGCAAGAGAGTGCCGCGCCAGTGGGCTTCGCGTGCGACGTCGCGCCTGCTAACGGCGACGATTTTAGGTGGCATTTGTCGAGAACAGACAATGTATGAAAATAACATAAGTGTTTGCCATTGTCCTTGTCTACATGAAATTCGATGGCTTTTATCAAAAGTTAGTGCAAGGTGAGGAAAACATCGCTCCCATTGCGCGCGCCAGACAAAGCGGCAGTTTGCGGATCCCTATGCCGCCTAATTATCCATGGTGATCTTGCAGTATGTATCACAATCGAAAATGCTGTCTTTGACCTTATCAGATGTCTCTAGCTACGTGTGCTAACGTTTGACATTGGCAGGCTTTGCGATGTATGGCTATGGGCAGGAGGCCTATAAACCGTTGGCCGCATCGATCCCACGTGGGGTAAAATGGCAAAAAAGGCATGAAAGGGAAGGATCCTGAAAAATTGATCTGGCACACTCCTGAGGGCATTGATATCAAACCGCTCTACCTCAAGGAAGATCGAAAATGTGACGAACACCGGAAAAGCGAGGTATTCAAGTCAGACTAAAGGCTTTGATATACTGTTGATAGGACCTGTTTTGATTCGAGTTTCTATTGATAAAAACCCCTGTAGTTCTTCTAGAACAAACTCTTGCGTAGGACTTCAATTTTGTTGAAATTATGAGCGAAGACGAACGCAATTAAGGAAATTGATGGTTACTTGAACCGCCCCAATCGGTACGCGCAAGGTTGGAAATGGTAATGTAGGTGAGTGCACGGCGTAAAATCAGTTTCTGATCAGGAGCGAGAGCGATCTCAAAAAAAAGTATCACATTTGCTAGTAAATAGGGTTGAGTGTGAGGTTGTGAAGAAAAGGTCTTTCAAGCTTTGGTGACTCAAATCCGACTGGTGTTTCCAGTGATACTTTTTTGAGATCGATGTCGCTTTCTATTTCTCTCTGTCGTCTAGTTCGCTGCGATTGAACGGAATTGTCAGGCGGGATGAGTTTGGCGCAGTGCCACCCATTCTCCAGAAAAGTTGTTGTAGAGAGCGAGTGATAAGGATGTGTCATATCGTTCGTATCACTCGTTTTCTACCTATGATTGTCGTATACCCGCTTTAACAACTGGCAGAGAACGGGTTTGGCGCCGTGGCAGTCTCGTATTACCTGACACGCCCCTTCATCCGCGCGAAGCTTTTTAAGTCGTCATTCTTCCACTTCGTGCTCATCTTCCGTGAAATGTTTCAGGCTGTAAGTAGCTTCATACATTGCGGCAGCATTCTACGAGACCGCTCAACCAGCGTCCACCGCAGACCATTAGCGCTCGAAGCGTCGTGCAGCTTCAGTAACTAGGAAAGTATATATATCAATCTGGCGTCTTGCCCAACGTCTGCCACGTTCTCGGCGCCAACGTGGTTTCGAGGGCTGGGAAGTATAGCTGTCCGATTCTAGTGTTCCATCGTCAAACAGCGTCCACAGCGTCGACTACAGCGATCAGGAGGACTGCCAAAGCACAAAATTATGCAAGTTGATGTACGGAGTAATGTAGTTGTACGGTGCAGTTGTGCAATTTGTTACCTATTTTCCCATACTCTCTACTTTCGGTGGCTGGTGAAGGCTGGTAAACTCTGGCACACGCTGGCAGACGCTACATCAATATCTATACTTTATTAGTAGCTGGCGCTCCAGACGCTCGGAACGCTAGTGGTCGCAGGTGGACGCTGCCGCAAATTATGAAGGCAGACTTGCTTTTCGTGTTGGTTTGCTTTCAAGCTTCGATTCCCTGATTTTTTTAAAGAATCCCTTATGTAGTATTTGTTCCTCAATGGGAATACACTTCACTAACTTACTGCGATAGTAAAGTGCAGATAGTCTGCAGCTGTATATTTTCAGCTTCCTGGTAAATATCCTTTCACTCGTGGTCCTTACCCGACGATGTACACCCATCGACCTTGGACGATTCGTCAGTATGCCGGGTTCTCGACCGTCGAGGAGTCAAATGCCTTTTATAAGGAGAACATCAAAGCTGGCCAACAAGGACTGTCGGTTGCCTTTGACTTAGCGACACATAGAGGGTCAGTTCTGCGCTCTGAGTAGGCGGATGAAGAGAAAGGGTGTGAGCTCAGAGTCGCAACAACATCCATTTTCAGCTACGATTCCGACAACCCACGTGTGTATGGTGACGTTGGAATGGCCGGTGTAGCTGTGGACTCCGTGGAAGACATGAAAAGGGTGTGCCTATTTTGGCTTTAGAATTTTATGGATCACAACTTCGAACGTCTGTAGTACCTGAGTATTTTATGCAGTTTTCAGCTGTTCGAAGACATCCCACTCGATAAGATGAGCGTGTCCATGACCATGAATGGAGCAGTGATCCCAGTTTTGGCTATGTATGTCGTTGCTGCGGAGGAATCGGTCAGTAGAAATTTCGGATCATAAAGGCCTTCTTCGAAGCTAGGTATTGGTAGGAGAAGTGTGGGAGAGGAAATCCCAGGGACGCCCACAGACCTCCTTGTCTTAGGAACAAGCTGTACGCCTACCGAGAGGCAAAGTCCGCGCGATGTGGGAAGGAAGCGGGCTCCTGCAGCTGTAGATTACGCCACTTTCGTTACTCGAAAGGGTGCGGAAATGAGGCCGGTAATGAAGAGAGAATGTGAAAGAAGGTTATGGTTTAGTTCTCCACCCAACGTTCCCAACGTGCAGCTCGGGCGTTGATGTCATGGTCCGGCAGTGAAAAACATGTACGACAAGCTGCCTATCACTGACCAGTGATAGGCAGCTTTTCGTTCATATTTTTCGCTGCACGACTTCGGCGATAGCGATTGACAAAAGGGCGCGAGAGGAGACAAGTCTCGCGATTCTCTTGGCTAGAGATGCAGCTTTATGTTACATACTACGTGCTTTGCCTGTGGGTGGAGCCCCAAATGGCATCCTACCTGCTACCCTCAAAGGTATAAGGCTCGATAATTTGGTACTTGCTCAAATTAAACAAATAACAGGGGTGCTAATAGTGGGGGGAAAATGGCGAACAGGCGGAGTTGGTCAAAACTGTG